CAGGAAATATTTATCCAATCAAGGCACAGTGGGGTCTGCCTTGGGTCTGCCCGATAAACACACACTATCTCGTTCATGTGACAAATCACTATGCTATTACACCTACATCACTTCATTATTTCCTATCTCTATAGTTATTTAATACTCAATTAGTATTCATAGCCACATTTAACCTTTAAATATTTACTTTGCGAACCCGTTACGTAACCTGAAAAGGGTCAAAACCTAAATAAAAATATAAAATCGGTGCCCACGAATTCTCTAATGAAATAAAACGTGCATTTTACAACCCCTTGTAAAGTATGTTTTTTTAATTAAGTAAATGAATACCGTAGTCCCAAAATACAATTTGAATTTGACGACCTCCGTGACTCGAGTGATATGCACGCCGGTTTTCAAGGTGTCGCCTACTTAGGGTCCTGGGTTCAAATCCCGGTGGGGCAAATGTTTGTGATTTGATACGATCATTTGTACCTAGGTCATGAATGCTTATATGTATTTCAAATTAAAAATATAACTATATGTGTATCAGTATATGTATGCTATCCATAGTTACCCAAAACACAAACCTTGTGCTTACTTTAGAAAATCATTAACCCCATACGTAGTAATGAATAAATGGTAACATACAAACATTTTACGATACCATTATAGGAGATTTGGGAGGAACAAATCGTAGGCTAATCCCTCCGATCCGACTGTCTTCAAAGCAAATCTTGTGTAGGTAACAACTGAATCATAGTTATGATCCCTGAGTCTGAGTGGGTGTAATACAAACGGCACTAATTGCTTGGATGAAATTTTATATTTAGATCGCATTATGCTTTTAAGTCTACCAATTTAAATTATATATGTCTTGTCAAATTCCAATAAATGAAAATACAGGGCTTAGGTAACGGAAGTAGCCCAAGTACTATAAGTAACAATAACTCGAGAATGTTTTTGCTCATCATATAATCCCAGAGTAACCTTTAAGAAAAGGAAACCTATTTTTCACAAATTTAAAACTGACTTCATAAAAACAAAACCACTTATGAAACCAAGCAAGCAACCAAACCAATCCCCCTAGCATGAGCACCGCGATATGACATATCGCTCGTTTTTATCACGCCCAATTGTCAAATTACTATGGAGTTTGACAGTTAGACACGATAAAAAACGTGTCATAATGTAACTTGTGTCGGTCATGCTACGGGGACAGAAATAATGAATTCTCTTTAGACAAATTAATATTTGGTGTCGGTGCTATGCATGTCTAATAGATCTGAGATATTCTATTTGAAATCTACAGTCGCTAGATGTAATTCCTGTAGGAAGGAAATGTTGTGATGTAAACATGATGATAATGCGTGACTTATCACCTGCCTCATATAATGTCGATATATCGATGAGTCAGAAGGGTGAAGTATGCGCGGAGATACTAGGGTGAATGAAACCATTGACTCACATGTTATCAACTAGGTATATTTCTAACTGAATCCTGATCTTATAAAGTAAGCTGACATAATCAGAAATAATTGTCTCATTAATTTTTAGGAAACTGTTTTCTCGTCAATTGTTGAAAGTAAGTAGTTAGTACAAAATTACAAATTGAGAAGGTGGGTATCGGGCAACGAATTTTTAGCCATCAAGCACAATGAGTTCTGTACCGCAAGCATGAACTTTGACAGCAGCATATTTGTATCTCCATCGTCAAAGTTTCTATGGAAACTAGGCAGCGCCCTTACCGACATAAGAATAAACTGGCTTTTTCCATCGAAACTTGACACGATGACGTTTGGGTTTCTGTTCATAAACGTAGATACTAATTAATTCGCATACATAAATCCTACATTCGAGCCAACGCTAACGCGATTTTAAACTTGGTTCATGAAAAACAAATTCCAGCATCGGATTGATGCATATCAATGAAACTGCTGATTCAATGGTTGTAGCGGAAATTGAAAATCTCTCGAACAAACCGAATACATGCATTGGATATATAAAAGTGTCAGCTGTTGTATGTCACCTACATGCGTCATCCCATTACTCTGCAGTCCGCACGGTATTCGCGCCATGTTCACTTTATTGTGCACATTTTTTGTCCAACACAAAAAAGAAACGGCTGAAAAAATAAATCAGGCAGAGCTATTCTTTAAAATATAATTTCACTTTTTTGTGCTGCAATCGTTTGAACGAAGTCACTTCAATATTTCACTAGCTCCAGATTACAGATACACAAGGATCGAGTTAACTAGGTAGAATAAAAATAAAAGAAAAAGAAATAATTAACTGTATTTTAAAATAAAATGAAATTTCATTTTAGTACAATTTTCATTATCAATCAGGTAACTGTTTAGTGCATATGCACTTGTTGGTCGCAGTCTCGCAGATGGAGCGGCGAGATTCTTAAGGAACCTCAAGCCGTGAAACAGCTAGGGCTATAGGCTTAAGTGGTTAACTAGGAGCAACTCACTGCCGTAGAGGCCACTCAAGCCTGAAAGGCGATGGCCCGACTATCAGGAAGCATCAGATGACATTTAGTTAATCGCGGAGCAAATACAAGAAGATGTTGTATAGCGTTTACTCTAAGTACCTAATCAAGTAAAGCCACTGTTAGGGAAATCGGGGGAAGCCGTGTTAAACCCAATTGGTCTAATGGATCTGTGGATCGTAACATCTTCACTTACGCGAAGATTACATGATACATAGGTATATTTAATAGTGTTACTTCGATAAGTACAGTTCCTATTATTTGCACTATTTCTCCAGGCGAGCGCTTTAAACAAATTAACCAATCAATCAGCTTTACCCCATTTCTTTTACGTCTGTACTCTTCTTCTTCTTTCATAGAGTTGATGGTTTGCTTTGTGGGTTATTACAATTCGGCCAATGTGAAGTAGGTAATCACCGCACTCAAGCCGTCAGCTCATTTGCCATCAGCTAATTTAAACCTTGACAAAATGACGTGTGTCTCACTGAAGTGAAAACTCAACACTTAGTAACTTTTGGAATGAAGAAAAGCACTGAACATGCGTGTGTCAATATAATACTAACATAAATAACATTTACAAAATTGATGTGATTATAAATTATTATCGTTTTCATGTAAAACAGCGAAGAGAATTTTTGTTTTTTTTTATAAAGAGTTTTTGACGAGCAGTCATGACGACTGAAGGATTTTTACAGTTTTTTTGTTATTGATATGTTTTACGTACCTTAATACAGAATTTGTAATTACTTACTAATATAACATTTATAAAATTGATGTGATTGTAAATTATTATATGTAAATATTGCTCGTTTTCATGTAAAACTATGCAGAAAATTATTCACTTTTTGATAAGCAGCCCTGCCTGATGACTGAAAGTTTTTTCTTTTTGATATACGTACTACGTACCTACTTCAATACTTAATTTTGCCTCCATAGTTATCTGGGAAATGGCGTAACATACCTACAGGATTTCAGGTAACAGGTAATTAAATCATGTCGAAGTGATTTGGATATTAAGATCGAATTTAATTATTTATGGTTTGTTTAACAGCTCACGGTTAATGATTAAACAGTAGTGTACCTAACTGGATTTGTTTAACCCGTGAATATATTAACATTAAATTAAACACACCGCCTGACGATGTTATAGTTGATTCTTTAAGCTGTTATTCTATACATTTCTTTACATCTGCCTCTAGATACTGTCCTTTTCTCTTATTCTGTAATATATCTTTACTTTTTGACGACTTCCGACGACGAGTGATATATACGCCAGATTTCATGGCGTCGTCGCCTACTCATAGGTCCCGGATACAAATCCCGGTGGGGACAAATTTAGTATGACGAATATGAACATTTGTACCATGGATGTTTATATAGATTTTGAGATAAAATATAGGCACTTATATATGTATCAGTATGTATTCTATCCGTTATCCTAGCATCCCATATCACAAGTCACAGTGCCTACTTTGGGGCTAGGCTAATGTTGTGTGAATTTAAATGTAACAGAATAAAACGTATTCCACCCTTTGCCCTAGTATCCGATAACACAAGCCTTACAGTGCTAACTTTGAAGCTAGGGTAATGGTGTGAATGTTAGAAATACTTATATATATATTTATTCTTAGAAATCCATATTGAAAATATAACTCTTTTTTGTTTCTTAGGTTTTCACGCACACCACACGCACAACAAGTTTCAAAAAGTTTTCCTTTACAGGATGCGAAACGTCACTAAATAAAATAATCAGTGCATCTATACCGTTGAAACTTGTTTTATTTAATAGTACTCTTGTTAACTTTTAGCATTCGCACCTAAACTACTCATAGCTTTGAAATGAAAAACATATTTTTAAAATCAATCTATGAAATGTTTATATAAGAATAAGATATTGAAGACTGGGCCTAGAATTGTGACTGGTAATGTTTCCCAAGTCACCAATGACAAGAAAGAAAACGAAAAAGATCAAATTTAAATGATGTACCTAATTCAAAAGATTGTATCGTCTAAATGAAATCAAAATTATCCAGTTAAATAATTTTATCCTGTACATGTTCCTGAGTTAGAGTCTAATGTCGACCCACCAAAACATGAATTTGTGGGGACGACAAACGAATTTTAATTTTCACAGCTCAGTAGGTAATATACAGCTCCATAAATCTGAAATAACGACCTTTGTCGCGCTCGGGTACCAGAGCTTTGAATGCAGAGATTAATAGCCACAACAGACAGACAAGGGATGTCGTCCCTAAAATTTCCACAACTCTTTGTCGTCGTAGCAACTTTTTCCACAGCTGCATTGAAATGCCCAAACATTGTCACGTGAACTTGAATACGTATTTGGAAAACAATAGGTTCCCAAATCGCTATAATCTAGCAGAAGTTGGTGAGCTATCCATATGCGAAATGTGTTATGGCATCAGATTGGTGACAAACATATTGTTTAGCTCTAGTTCTTCCTTGTAGAATAATCCATAAACCACTGGACGAAATGCCTTAATATTGCTCTTTTGATTGTTCACAGCTCGGAGTTGCTCTCGGGTTTCTGTTGCCGCCCATACTGGTGCGCGCACAGGGATCAATTGAACAAATCGCTGAAGATTTTCGTCTTATGTTCTTCTTAGTCGCTGGCTTTACTACTTTACTGTTCGTGCTTATATTACTGTGTAAGTTCTATTATAACATCACATCCACCAGAATTAAGCATATTAGTACTGTGCAGACGAGGAACTTGTATTATTGCTTTTTTTTTTGTCCGTCAAAATAGATCGCTTACTACTGCATAGAGTAACGCATACGTCGAATTTAAAATTCTCGCGTACAAATAGTCCCCCGAACAACCGTAAACACTTAGGGACCGGACAGGACAAAAGTGCGTGGGTGTCTCCGAAAAAAAATAGAACTCGTCGAAAGTTCTTCGTCTGCGCAGGCCATTAGGCAAAGGGAAGTTATTTCAATGTTATTGTTTCAGTTTTCAAAGCCGCTCCGCCAAGTCCACCCTCAGCAGCCGCCGATTTCGGATCAAGCCTCGATTCCAACTTCTATCAGTCTCTCAAGAAACTTCTCACGAATCGCAACTACGTTCTGTTGCTCATTTCTTACGGCATCAATGTGGGTGTATTCTATGCGATTTCTACTCTTCTCAATCAGCTGGTCCTCACTTATTATCCTGTAAGTATTAACTTGTTTAGTCAAACAATAGATAAACGAATGAGTGTCGGTTAAAAAATAGTTTTACGTCAAAATACCTCATTAAAATCTTATATCTACAGAAAAGCTAACACAAGCAATCTTATTACAGCAAAAATCCCTTTCTGTTGCTTTTAATGAAAATAAGATTAAATGGTCATGCATTAGGAAAGTTCCACTAGAATATGAGGATAAATATTTTTTGGTCATTGGAAGGGTAACCAAAAACTTAATCCCTATCCCGTGCTCCTCCGTGCTTCGGAAGGCACGTTAAGCCATTAGTACCGGCTTCATCTGCGGTCATTAGCATCCACCAATCCGCACTGGGCCTGTGTGGTGGATCAATACCCAATCTTGATGTTCCATTCAAAGGAAAGGCTTGTACCCCAGCAGTGAGGACATAAAAAAGACTGATAGGATATACTTAAGTCCTAAATCAAGCATAACTATCAGCACGAGACACCGCATATACTTCAAATACATGTAAATAAATATTCATGAAAGGTAGATAAATGCTCGTGTTTATTATATTCCTCACTCAAAAATTGTCTCGAACCCAGGACCGCCAGATTGCCGACATTACATTATCCCAAAGACCTTCAAAAACAAATCGAATCCTCCTTAAAGGTATCTGATTTGTGAAACTACTCCTATGGGCGACGGTGATCACTTTCTATCAGGTGAGCCGTCTGCTCGTGTACCCCCTATAGCAAAAAGAAATGCTTCCCAGTTAGGATCACTAATATTAAGTGGACTAGGCATCACCGTACAATCATACCCAAAAGTATAGCGGAATAATTTCATGAACACCACAGGGAACAACTTTTAGTTAAGTACCGTACTCCTTTAATTAGACTTCTTTTTTTAAACCAAACTTATAGTATAAAAATAATATGTTTGACTTATGATGAATTACATTATAGTTTTCATTCATTTATCAAGACACTTGTTAACACCGTTAGATTTCTGAATTTTAATCAAACTTAATATGTTTCTTTGTTAATCAACATTTTCTAGTGATACTTAGAATATCACCACACTCAACGCTGTTTTAATATGTATTTTATATATAAGTAGTAAACGGTGCTGGTTTCAAAGTTATCTATCTAATCACCAATTATTTAAATACTAAATATAGATTATAAAATCTAAATACTGAATTGTTATGTACTTACGTTTTAACTGTTTGTTTACCCAAATAAATAGAAAAAAACCCCCGACGTAAAATGAAAGTTTTTATATGTTTAACGTGTGTGTATCTTTTATCTTGTATCTTTTTATTGTGTATCTTTGAGTCTGTCTGTGGCATCGTAGTCCCTAAACGAATAAGCCGATTTGGATGCGGTTTTTTTATTTGTAAGCTGACACGATCGAGATGGTTCTTAGCTGTAATTGATGAAGATCTGTTCAATGGTTTGAAGATCATCAGCTGTTTTCCCATTTTACAGGGAGCTAACGCAGACGCTGGTCGCATCGGACTCGTGATCGTAGTCGCCGGCATGGTCGGGTCGGTGATATGCGGCATGATCCTGGACAAGACGCACCGCTTCAAGGAGACCACGCTGGCGGTGTACGCCGCCTCGGTTATCGGGATGGTCATCTTCACCTTCACACTTGATAGCGGCATCATCGGAGTGGTGTATCTGAGCAGCATTCTGCTAGGGTGAGTACTCATTTGTTTTATATTAATTTCTACTTTTCCGATTATACTTACCAGTTCAATTTTTACTGTAACTGACCATTACTATCCATATTTCATTATCAGTAGTTGTGTTAGATATGATGTCAATTTAACATAATTTCCAATCGGATTTAACCGCTTCCACAAGATGTTTCTTGAAGGTATTTATGAGGCTAAATATGTTTTAATAGGTATTTACCTGACAGTGAAATGTATTCAAGAGACTATCGGACGTGTATTGTAGTTACGACAATACCTATCTATTGTCTTTTCATCACAGAGACCGTCATGAAATCGTAATAATAAACTAAAATTATGCTTGCGTTAAGCGTATTTTTCTTGACATTAAAGAACGAAAATTTAATATCGGATTAAAATTACAAGATTCCAGAATCACGTATTATAGGATAAAATAAAAAAAAGAATACATATTTAAGCTTCGAGTAGACCTATACTGACGCTATGACAACAACCAGCGCAAAATATAATAATAATAAAAAAAAGCTTTTCGTCCAATTTCCCCCATCCGCAACCATTATTCATATTGTCGTATAAGCGATGCAGACCGGAAAGGATCGCGTAATGACATAGACGTTCCCTGTCATTTGGGGCACACAATGAGGAGCAATCTCGTTACAAGAGGCACACAGAAAAATGAGATTTATGTTAAGAAGATGGTAAGGCGCCAGATTTAGATCGTTTAAAGAGCAACTTGCCACCTTGCGATTTTTTACTTATTAATATAAAACTCTCAGTTTGGACGTCATAATATATCAAAGGACTTCGAAAAAACCACCAAATGTCTTTCTTAAAATACAGCATATCCATTAGGGCGCTTGTTAACGAGACGAGGCATGACGTCAGACCTCAGGTCTAAAATATATAAAATTTAAAAGGACATTGCTCGTTCCCCATATATTGAATGCCCTAGAACGCCCAGCAATGAGAAAATGCTAGTTGTGTTCGGAATCATTCATAAACTCTAATTAGGCATTTGTTGAGATACGGACAACTTGAGGAACCGTGGCCTACCTACTACAGAATGTATTAGATTTTGAGGTTATAATTATTATACATAATCGTAAAAGATGTACACTTTATATATTCTGAATAGATTTAGTGTTTACCTCTATGTAAGCACTTAAATAATATGCATTGAATGAACATAATATGTAATTAATAATTAAAATAATAAATGCTTCTATTCATATTGATTTATGAGTGCTGGCAGTTGGCACCTATGATACCTATACCAACTTGTAGTAATAATAGATTTCTTTTCAAATGAAATGTTGAAAGTCTTTCCATTTACCTGTTACTATATTTTACTATCGGTAATTAGGTACGTACCAGGTTATCATTATGTTTTTCATAAAAATAAACAGATTTTACATTGGATGGGAGTATAAACTATCTTTTCATAATTTCAGAAATAATCTTTTTATAAATATAATATAAATACTAGTAATAAGTATTATTAACTAAGGTACCTAGTTCTATTATTATGTTGATAAATACCTATAGTCGCCGGTATTGCATTTATTAAGGTAAACAATCTTGGCACAACTTTTTAACAGAATCACCCATTTAATAATAAAATATTAACGAAGCCAATAAACTATTAAAATAAATCGTTATTATAGACTGAAACCTATTGGATCCAGTTATCAGTTGATTTTTAATGCTGTATTTTCAATAAAGAGGAGTGCCAAGATTGTTTACCAAATAGGACAAGTTGGATGAACAGACTGTAGTATCTAGTAACAGAATTTTTATTTTTTATTTTTTTCAACAGATTGTCCGTTTACTATATATAAGGACATTCTTTTGGGCATGATAGGGCCGATTTCGTCGATGTCCTTTGTCATATCCAATATTTTATAAACTAGTATGTCCTGTGGCGTAGTCAACTGGTGCGTCATTAGGTTACGATATATTGTTGTTGAAGCCGAACTTTTAGTAAATCATCTAAACCAAATGTAAAAAAATAACTCTGATACCTCAGATTGTCGTTATATTTGTAAGTAATAATATAATTGGGCTTGAAATGACACAAAAACCACTGAGAAGATTGTATCAACATACCTATTTGAAAGTGTTTTTTATATTGCAAAAATACTGTTTACCCTGCAGTTTCTTCATGACCGGCTATTTGCCAGTCGGCTTCGAGTTCGCATCAGAGGTGACTTACCCTGAGCCAGAGGGCACTACTTCCGGAATACTCAATGCCGCTGTTCAAGTAAGCCATATTATTTGTAACCTATAGATGAATTATGATAATGTTATTTGTTTTTAATTTGTGGTAAAAGATAAAGTGGTAAGGTCTGTATCATAATTTTTTCCAGTTCAAATTGATCATTTTGATAGAACCAGAATGGTCTAAAAGTGATACAACGAATATTCACTAGATGGCAGAATAATTACTGTTACGGTTTTTAGACTGTGATCTAAATTTTAGGTGCCATACTGGCCTAAGTAACAAATGGGCCACACTGGTTAAAAAATGAGTTAGGCCACTATGGTTCTTATGGCCTCAATTATACCGCACGATGCTTACCTGTTTTGAATCTCTGATCTAGAAAACATAGTTACTTGGTAATTTGAAGATGTATGTATACAGCAGTCGCACTAAGATACGACCAATATGTTTTTTAATTTATCTAAACATGATGCTGTTTACGATAGCAACAAAATAAGACAACTTAATTTAGCTAAAAATAAATGTAATTTTTCGTCTTCGAAGGTGACCGATAGATTCATACATTTGGTTTTTCAGATTTTATTTACTTAATAGTCCAATGTAAATAATTAACCTTTATTAGCCAGTCTTGGATAAAAACGTAGTTCATTTTTAGGGATCAGTATCGTAAATAGGAACACTATTGCTGTCACTCTGCCGTCTATCTATGTGTGTCCATCTGTCCGTATGTCACGGGCCTCTAGTTTGTAAACGGAATGAGTAACAGAACTGAAATTTTGGTATTTTGTGTAGAATACTTGTCCAAAGCCAAATGTTTCGTTATTTATAGGTAATTTAAATAAGGAGTGAAATTTTTCTTATCTTCCAATGGAAATTGGATGGAATCGCCTTACGTGCGTAACTTATGAATTCAACGTGTATTCTTTTCGTTGCAGATCTTCGGCATCGTCCTAACTCTTCTATATGAGTGGATGCTGGGCGAGGTTGGCGATCGCTGGTCCAACTTGACTCTATGCGCTCTCCTCGCGCTAGGAACAGCCATTACGGCCGCAATACGATCCGATCTGCGGCGCCAAGCTGCACAGAACAAGGGTTAGGAACTTTAGAACGTTCACCCAAGAAGCCTTCAAAACAAGAAAAATAGAAAGACACCTTCCTAACAAGAAAAATTGAATAATGGGCAAGTCATCATTTATCGTCTCCTACCTGTTCGACTTTACTATTTATTCAAGGAAAAGTGACATGAAAAAGAATTGTAGGCGATTCCTACTTAACTATTTCCATATTTTACCTGTTTGACTTTACTATCATTCAAGGAAAAGTAACACAAATTAATTGTAGGCGATTCACAGTATAAAATCTATTTTCATCTTCTACCTGTTAGACTTTATTCTTATTCAAGAAAAAGTGACATGAAAAAAATGGAGGCAATCCATTTTTATCTTTTTTCATTTTCTTTGCCATCTCCAGCATCGGATTTGCGATACTCATATGGTTGCTGATGTCTTTGGGCAACGGTGTTCGCTTACCATTATGTAGCGTAAAGTTCGTATGCTCTACTTATAATAGGTATTAAGAAATACTTCTTCCTGTTAGACTTTACTATTAATCAAGAAAAAAAGGACAAGTGAGAGAATTCTAGGCGATTCATGCTTATCTATTTTCATCTGGTACGTACCAGTTTGACTTCAGTATTATTACCTGTACGTAATTAGATCTAATTAAGGTGATTCGTAACGCAAAATTGGACTAATGTTCAATACTAATATTATTATTATTAAATCTATTTATGGACAATCGTAACGAAAAAAATTGACATAAATAACAAATTAAAAGCGTGGGCGAGTAACGCTAAGAAACTTATTACTTCTAGACATGTCGTGTACCTAACACTGTAACTGAGTCGGACAATTACGCTAACTCGCTGAGTGTATTCCGAAATATAAACCAGTACCTACGCTGGCCAGTGGTAATGACGTCATGATTTCGACACCTTAATGCACTGGTGTAGTAGTAGTGGTGTCAATATGGCGTCGAAATCATGACGTCATTACCACTGGCCAGCGTACTGGTGTTTGATTCGGAATATACCCAATGTGTTAGATGTTTTTAGTCGTAATGTATCTATTGGAGTGTTAACTAATTCACTCACTCCTTCAAAGTGGAGCTCCTCCTTCGAAGTGCATTTCCAACACTGATGTCAAAGCGACAGCTCAGCTGACGAGCCAAAGTAGTTTAGTAGAGTGCACTGTTTGTGCAGATTTTTGCGTTGGTGCAATGAGCTTGACTAAGCTCAAAATGAGCCTCATTACTCGACCGTCTTTTATTGACGAATTTTACTAGGCATAGCATGTACTTGAATGTCTAATCATTACAATAAGGTTTCTTTCTTTTATTTTGTAGGCCGTAAGCAATTGGTAGGGTATAACCGCCTGAGGGCCATTCGCCTAACGGAAATGCTTTGGAAAACGCTACCGCTTACGATTTAGTTTTGTTATATCTAGCCGCCTGAGGTTTTGAAATGCCTCGCGCTCTTTTTTTTCGTTTTCATTGGTAATAACAATATTTAAAAAATTAGCGTGAGGTATATGAAAACCTTCGCCGGTCAGAAATAACAAAATAAAATCGAAAGTGTTAGCGTTTTCCCAAGCATTTCCGTTAGCCAATGGCCCCCTGGTTGATGTATGTATGTGTTGATGATGGCTTAGATTAATTTTATTGCAAGAACAAATTCTTAAAGTTCGCTTATATAAATATAAAGCTATGATGAATTTATAATAATATTGTTTACTTCGATCATTCCTGATGGAAAATTGTACAGCAATCGAAACTTTAAAAACTCAATTTAACTCAATAACTGAACGAAGATTTAGGCTGTGTTAATGCGATGGGCTAGATTTTATTATAGTGTTCAACAAAATTTAAGTATTTTGGATTAAACTTGACCTGAGCTCTTCGGAAGAGTTCTAGAAATCGGATGAATAAACTTTAATTCTGTATCGATATTAAAATTCGATAATAATGAGCTAAATAAAAGATAATAATTATCTTTAGAGATATATTAAAATATTTTTGTGACTAATGACTTATAATATGTACCTAATTAACAGAAAATATGAAATTCTGAGCTTTAACCTTTAATCGCAAAAATGAACTAAGATTGTTTGAAAAAAAATACCAGAAATTAGATTTAAAATCATAGATTAGATTACTTATATCATAATAAAATATTAAATTGAATAAAATCTGTGTAATACATAGTTGAAATGTCCAACATTGTGTTTTCAAGATCACGGTGAAAACTGAACCAATAAAATTTGCCGAAACTCGGAAACAAGCTACAGTGAAATTGAACATTTATAGCCGTTGTGAAGTTAGCAGTTAGTCAAACAAACCCGTTTACTGGGCAGCGACTTGCACTAACTTCACAACCGCCATTGAGTTTTCGTCAGAATATACATGAACTGCAGTTATCAAAGTGATCATGTGCCGCTTTCACTGAATAATCAAATATTAATATGTATCTCACTGAATTTGCATGTAATTTTAAATACTTGTATGGTAGCTAACGCTTTTAAAATGAAGACAATAATAACGTGTGACTACTAATATTAATAAGTGTCTAGCCAAATATTATGGTTAAGTACAATAATATTGTTGAGTAGATTATATTATCTTTATATATCTTCTCTCGAAACTGTATACTATAAAGAAAACTTTTATAGATTATACGTTGCTATTAAAGTAAACGAAACCATTATACGGCCTGCATGATTAATAATATGCAATTGGGACAAATTTTGAAAACCTGTACATAACTATTTTTATGACAGTAAGGTTAACTTTTATACTTATTTTTATTTATTTTAATATGCAAAAAATATTGTATGCTTAAAAATTATGTGTAGTGTGTTCCTATGTGATAGGCATCGATTATTATAAAAAATGAGAAAAATTAAAAGTACGGAATACGAATAACATAATTATTGACTCACAATACTGAATGCATTTTGAAAATATAATCTCCACAAACAATAGATACTTGTAGCGCAAAACAAATTGTAACCGGTAAATGTAATTAATTATAAAAATCATTAAAAAATATATATAGGTCGTTATAGTAAGTATTTATTCGTTAAAAGGAAGTAAATCTTGGAAAAATGGAATATAATTACAGCAGCACTATTCTGTAAGAACAAACTCACTTTTCACGTCGAAATCCGCAGTGCGATTTGGTTTTGTAAGTTGTGAGAACACGGATTGGAAATATATTTCTAATCGCACCAGCGAACTTTGCTGTGAAAAGTGATTGTATTGTATGTACTGTAGTGTATTCTTTTTTTTTCTTTTTTTATTATGGAGGGTTTAATCAAACTGATTATGTTGCCCTCAAGATCACATTATATGGTCATAGTCTACGTTTAATACCAATTTTAACAATTTTAGTACAGATTAGCACTGCAGTACATGTGGTGTAGCGCCAACGAATGTTGATATCGTTTGTTAACTTTTATTTACCTGTTCTGAATTTAGAAATGAATAGAATACAAATACCTACTTGATGTCTGAAAAATGACATTTTTTTTTGTCTGTCGCGTAAAAAAAACATAAGTCGTTTAGAAAAAGCTGCAAGTAAATGTAACAAATTGTTTTTCTTTAAAGCTTATTTTGTTTTTCATCATACTTACATCAAATGAAACAAAATTCCTATATAAAGATTGTGATTAAATTTTATTTAGGATTTTTTTTTTTGCCATACCTGGATAAAACTTATACCTACGAGTATAATACTATTACTTGTTTTTTTTTACATCAAATCAATGCAAATGTTTTGCCATTCTTGTATTTTATTGTATTGTTTGTGAGGCGTTAATTTTTCTTTTATTTTATTATGATTTACAAAGTAATTGTGAAAGTTACCAATCGTTACGTGATCCTGTGAAATAAGTAGTTTTATTCCCTAATTGGTGATTATTGTAAAATATTTGTAATTTTAACATGCATTATTTCTTATAAAAAATAGATATATTTTAATAATGTAGAGTCTACTTAGTCAAGATAATTTCTTCATAGATTTAATCTATTCTAAGTTAAATAAATTTTGTACGGGACGAGGACGATCGATAAATCTGGAACTAAATAAATATTTCCTAATTTAGGTAGGTCCTTTAATGTTTAAGTTTGAATTTACTTCCATTTGTTTAGTGACTAAATTTATAGACATACCCCCTTACTTATAAACGAAGAATGCCGTAAGCTTTAATAGTCCCGCAGTGTTTTGCTCACCCTCATGACATGACTCCGAAGACTGGCTCAACGGCTGCTCAAGAGATGGCGGGCCCTTCCCACTAAAAGCCTAATGACGGGTCATGTCCTTTCCGAACGAAAGATCCACCATCCGGCGGAACCCAGCCCAGCGAGGAGACGGTGTGTGAGACCAAGGGAAACCTTACGGCGGTATCCACAATTCTCTTTACTTCCCTTTTCACTTGTTGTAAAATTTATGTAATTATATTCTGAGGGAATTTCCCTTTAGAATATTTATCTATGAGTCCTACGATGTTATTTATTAATGTCAACAAAAGATACAATAATAATTACAAATTAAATATTTCTTTGAGTTCGCCTGTGCGGGACACGGCCCCAAGAAGGCTGGCAGCGTTGCCTCGCTGTATCGCCAAACCTATCGCTGTATCCTATATTAGAAGTAATTTAATAAACAGAGACAAAAGCAAACAACCCTGCTTAACTTATTTAAGCATAAACTTCGTTAAATATTAAGGAGGTATAATGTAAACACACATGAAGTCAGTTCCGCAGTGAAAAGTAAGTTTGTTATTACAGAATAGCACTACAGGTGTGAAACATAATTATTGAGCCCTTTCAAAAAAAACGAATCATTATTCGGACAACATACATTCATGTGTTAGTATACAATACTTAATACTATGTTAGTAAATTAAATTAAAAACCGATATAACCCTATCTACAAAAATTCTAATCAGTGGACAGTCCCCACGATCAACTAAATCCTTCACGACTCTGCTGCGGCTACCGCGAACCCGCCCCGGAGCAATGAACCGGCTTTTTTGCGCAAAAGCGCCGGGAAACTGTCGACCTGCGCATCTGTGAACATTCCCGAAGCACTACAATATTGCGGCAGCTGCAGCAGTGCCCTGAAGGCATTATTGTATTGGACACGGAGTTAGCTTTCTTTAGGTAATATTTATTTGTTATTATGTTGGATGTAACTAATCCGTGGCTGTCAAACAGTATTATATTATTTTATTAAATATTGTTTTTAATATTAATCATGTAAATAACTTATTATTTAATAATGTATTTTTGCTCATTACATATCGAAAGTGGCATAAATAAAGAGTTCCAACTTGCGCTAGTTATAGGTAGGTAATCTTATGTTATTTGGTCTAGTTACTAGTAAAAAATATGTTAAAAATGATTCCTTTTGATTTTTGTAAGATGTGATAAAATCAGTGTGTTTTTTTTATCTCACAGTATACCAAAAAATATTGAATGTTTTATATGTAATTGCAATGTTATCAAAAAGAACACAAATTAACTTTTTATCGCAAAAGCTGGTGTACCTACCAATAATAAATATGATCGGGAAAATGCATTACTAAAGACTAAAGTCTCACAAATTTATTTTTTAATCTTGTTGGATTTTCAAGAAGTCTAGTACAATAATGCACCAGAGACTTTCACTTCTCGGGTGCATTCTTACTAACTAGTAAGCATTTAAATGCTTAAAAATATAGACAGAAGCCAAAGAAACAAGAGTGTTATGCCAATTTTAAGCTAATATCTATCAAGTTTATCGTTAATGAGAGGAATAAAGTGATAATCGTCTAAATGCGGTATGTACATTGTACAATTTATGAATACTAAAATCTTCTCCTGTGAGTATTATTTATACCTACCTGATACTTATGGAATACAATAGGTGCTTACTTACCTA